AGCTCCACCCGACATAACAGAGGGGCACCTATGGAACAATCGTAAGCAGACGAGATTGCCTCACTGGTCGTGCTTTAGACCTGGGGAGTAATAAGACGTAATACCAACACACACCTCTTGTTAAGCAAGTGGGTATTGAAGAAGAGAAAATTTGGAAAACGCGCTGAAGCGCTATAACTCTCGCCTTGTTGCAGTTGGAGATGAACAAATGCTGGGAGAAATTGCAACATAATCTTCTTCAGTGCTTGACGAGACCAGCGAGAGAATAAGATTGGCAGTATTACGATCGTGCGGTATTCGTGGGCAACACTACGATGTTTCATTGCCTATCCAAACGTTTTTAAGAAGAAAACATTGGAATTTACCTTCGGGCCCCCGAGGGCACAAAAATCCTAAACGAAGAGCTCAGACGGCTGGGAGCAATTGCTTGCAACGATTTGTCATTTACTATGGTGAAGAGCATCTACAGGCTAATGTCATCTGGGGGTCTCTGGAAACATTTGCTCCATCAGACATTAGTGCAGGCGAAACAAACACAGCCTGTCCCTGTAACGGGGCACCCTCAAGCTTGTACTGATGACAGTACAAGCTACTTAATCTGACGACAGAATAAGGCGGTGCCTCGGAACTTCACGTACACTGGTACGTGCATTGGAAGACGGCAAGAAGAAGCGAGTACTTGATTAATGTAAAAAGTAGAACTGTATTTATCATAGTTAATGTCGAGTCTTCGTCGTTGGTCGATGTAATGGCCTATATCAACCAATTAGAAACTACTCGTAAGTGCTGCAGAACATTTGTCCTTGTGACAAAATTCTGAGAATTTAACTCTTACAGTTATATTTAATTAACAATTTCTTATAAGTTGTTTTGAAGTAGTTCACCCTGTTACAGCCCCCGACTCGTGTGCGCCTGTTATAAGATGATTGATTCAGAATCTGTATTGGCGAGTGTTTGTGTGGACGATTGGTTGGCCACTGCGACCAAAGAGGGGATTTACCCTATGTAAAAAGGACATGGTGAGTCTGGAACATAAGAGTCTGGGACCCTCAACAATTTCCTAGAAAATGCATATTTGTACGATAAGAAAGATGTGTCTACATTTTAACAGAAGCAGACGACCGATAAAGTACTTCAGTGAAACAAACTCGAAAATGCTAACGCCACACCAGCACTGATCGCAGACAAGTGATCTTTGGAGTCGAAATGCGAGAAAGCAAAAAGAATTGCCTAAAAGAGGACCTAAAAAGGCCAGAGAGGCCGAGCATGAAAAGCATTCAGTCACTTTTGGCCTATTTGCTATGGTAGGCTTAATTCAGCAGACCAGATATATATTACGCAGTGCATCAAGCCACCAGACACAGTCACGCGCCGACTGAACAAGACTTAAATATAGCTAGGCGTGTGTTGTGGTACCTTGCCGAAACTGCGGGGTTGAAAGATCACATGAAAGGGGCCACTGGATGCGAAAGTATGAAATTGTTGAGCTATACGGATGTTGAATTTGCTCTTGAAAAGAGCACGAAAAAATTAGCGAGCGGGGCACTAAAGGTCGTGGTAGCAATGCCGGTTAGATGGCACGTGAACGACCGCTTAAACATAATTGATTCGTCTGCCATGGGACTAAAGTAGTTGCTTGAAGTGAAGAGCCTACTAGGCGAGATTTGGGTAGGATTGAAGATGCCGATGAAATGATGATAGGCAATCAAGCAGCCGGAAGCACGTAACCGAAAAAATTTTTTTTTACGAGACAAGAGAGAGAAGGGAATGGTTCAACTAGAGTACATGTGTATTAAAGAGATGCTTGTAGATGTGCTAACAAAAAAGGCCACTAGCGCCAAGAATGGTGAAAGTGCAGGAAAAGATCGGCTTGTAATATATAGAAGCGCCATGGAGAATAGTGTTAGAACGAGAGCTAGGGCAATACACGGCCCACATGTCCGGAAAATACCTGTCCTGATGTAAAATTAGCTGGGTACTTGTAATGGGGTCACACTAGCCTTTGGCTGAAATGTTCAAAGACCTCCCCTAAATGACATGGTTGAATGTGTGCGACCTTAGTTTTTTTTATCAGCGAGAGAATATCGATTGATCGATATAATCCCAGGCTGTGGTACTTACCGTGTACGTACTTTGTTCCGTCATCATTTGATGACTGAGTGATGTGCCAACCATCCATTTAGTTCGAATACTAGTATTTGTATCAGTTCTAGTTTAATAGAATAGAGGGCACTTAAAGTAGGATCTTCCTTGATATAAATTCTAAATATAGTTCAGTTCTCAGTTTGAGCAGAAGTCCCTAGACTTCCCCCTTCGTACATTGTGCCCTGCAGTTCCTTAGAATTGCCGTAGATTAAATATTCCTTAGACTCCTACCCCCCTGCACATTGTGCTTGTGGTTCTCTAGAACTACACAGTAGTTGAGCTGTTAGTTCGTAGAGTCACCCCGAGTTCCGTAGAACTAAGTGATTCTTTAACTTACTGTATTAGTTCCGTAGAACTATTAGGCTGTCTTTCGTAAGCCTTTGGCTTGTTGAATAAGTCTTCCTCTGACTGAAAGAGCTGTGTAGCTCCGCAAAAGTATTTGATTAGGTACGGTTGGATGTAAATGATGATAAACTATTAATTAAATCAAACGAACTAAAACAACCCCCAGGTGTTCGTAGATCTCCCACCCCTGTTTATTACATTATTTTACTCAGTCTAACACCTTACATTTGACAGTATTAAATAAATTACAAATTTTAGGAGTACTGCACAATCACATTTGCAAACGCAAAATTTCTGGATCTTGATTCTGTGCATGCGTCTAAGTCGGCGACGTGTGGTTATTTACTATGCTTTTACTTCCCCAATTGTATACTGGATTTTGAGCAGCGAGTTGTGGCGGAAAATTATTCTGGGGAACAATCCCCTGGATAAATAAGTACATTTGGCTGGCTCTATTCAAAATTGCTCGAGTTTACTCGCTGCACGGCACTTACCTTTAGATTTCAGCACAACAAAGATGAGGCCGAGACGAAAACATTACAAGACTCCAGTTTACGTCTTTTACATGTATGAAGAGTTGGGTGATGTAGAAAATTACTTTTTTGATTTTGCGGTGTGTAACTTTAGTTTAGATCGAATGAAACTTCCATCAGTATCACATTCTAAATCCGTTAATTTAAAAAGACTTTAATGCAGTAAGCAGCGGTAATAAATTTCCTGACGACGATATTATCAATCTTGCCAATCAGAAGGCGTAAAATCGATTAAATTGCTGTTATATATACGGGTGGGGGTGGTTAACGTTTCCTTATATAGAATCTTAACAGCGCAAGCCTCTCTCTTACTTCAGGTCCTTTGTCTACAATTGCCATCACGGCTATGAGCGTTTCCACGCCAAGTGTTGTCGCATTGACGACCACGTGCTTCGTTCACAATATGACATCTACACACTATAGGATACTCTTCTATGTGCATTACGTCAGTTCTTTCGAGAACTGTAACGGGCACCCTGAAGCTTGTGCTGGTGACAGTACAAGCTCCTTATTCTGACGACAGAATAAGGCGGTGCCTCGGAAATTCACGTACACTCGTACGTGCAGAGGAAGACGGTAAGAAGAAGCGAGTACTTGATTAATGTAAAAAGTAGAACTGCATTTATCATAGTTAATGTCTGCAATAAATCACTATTTATCCTCATCTAACTATTATTGAATACAAATGTGCATATCAATTATCTGCTCACCACTCATTGCGTGCGTCTGTCGTGGCGCGTCTTCGTTGGTTGATATAATGGCCTATATCAATCAATAAGGAACTACTAGTAAGTGCTACAGAATATTTGTCCTTATGACAAAATTCTGAGAATAGAACTCTAATAGTTATATTCAATTAACAATTTCTTCTAAATTGTGATGTACCGGTTCACCCCGTTACATCACCCTTCCCTTAACCATCAGTCACTTTAGTGACTGATTGGCTAAATGGATACTCGTCCCAAATCATTTGGGACAGGGTTTGCACTTGTTGGTCCAAGTCCACTTTCCAACAGTTCATCGCATGGTAAACAAGACCATGCCGTGCGCGAACAAGGCAGCTGAGATCGCTTCTGCACGTCTCTGTGCAGAAGCCGAAGCAGAAACCGCTGCAACCGATGTGCCATCCGTTGCTATAGCGTCTCAGTCTGTATCACCTGGTGATGCACACGCTCGTCATGTAGACACTCATGTCTTCTCAGAGTATGAGCTCGGTGTCTCATACTCTCCTGATACGATAGAGGAATCTGTATCGAAAGCGGTTGAAATTAAGCCGCCTGCCAAGCGTGGCATGGATGATGCTACTAGTCGTAGCATCTTCGGTTCAGCTGATGATTCAGATGAACCATCGCCAAAGCGAAGGCGCTCGAGATCGCAAGACTCGGGCGCTCACAGTGGTGTCAGGTTTTCTGTTGACGCCACTTCGCAGCGAGGTACCAGTATTCTGTCGGCACGTCGCAGAAAGAGCAAGACCGCAGTTTGTTGCGTCTAGCTTCCGAAAAGAAATCATGGCTGCCTCTCAAGTCGGTCATGGATCACTTGTCGGCGACTGCAAGTGATCGCTATCGAACACGATTGTTCGATTCATCAAGGATCCATCACCTTGACCCCAGCGCGAAAAACTATCACAATGAGAATGAATTCATCATCGATGCTGTCATTAAGCATCTATGGTACAGTGGGATTCACAAGCGTGATGGTCCCTCACTACTTCAAGCGTGGAACTCCTACATCCATAATCTTGAGGATGTAGGTCATGGCGTTTGGAACGAAAAACTTTTCAAAGCTCGTGATAAGCTTGAGAAAAGAACTCCGACAGGTGCGCGCTATAAGCTGCATCGCCTGTCTAAGGTGGGTGGGTTACCCCGTATCTCCTGGGGAGACCCGTGCCCTTGTTTTGTGAACAACTCTGCACGAGCACCTAAGGAGGCTTACCTCCTTAATAGCCCATGGTAGCGCGTACGTATCTCAATTGAGATGTACGAAGGGATTGACAACCTGAAGTCCCAATATGACCGTGCCGGGAAGACTTTCTTCGGCGGTCCTTCTGCGGCACTGAATTTGCCGCGTCGTACTACTCGACCAGACCCAGTACGTCGACCATCAGTGAGGAGAGGGGCTCCCAAGTATCCCAGGACGGCGGATAACCGCGCGACCGGACGAGGTAACCCGTCCGACGTTCGTTCACATCGCGGTGGTTCAACAGCTGCTCAACCAAATAGCGCTGGCCACCGCGAGAGTCCTCCAATGGAGGTGGAGGAGGAGGGAAAACGCTCTCCAAATTATCGTGGGGAAGCGTGTATCCCCGAGAGCCTCTTTGATCGCGTAACGCAAGCGTTACGCGGCGATATCGAACATGAGCGGGACAGGCGTCTCCAACTGGCGGACGCTGTCTCGAAGCATCGAGATAAGTTTGCCTTTGCTCAGCTTGAGAACGAGAGAGCTCTGACATCTCTGCGTGACGAGCTAAGGGTAGCTCGTGGGATTGTTGATCGGTCTCGGGCTGAGATAACTGATCTTCAGACCCTTGTCGATGCCCACCATCGGGAGCACAAGTCCCTCTGTGAGATGCTTAAACGCAAGTGCTTCTTCATCGGAAGAAACAGCGTACTGATGGTACGGCTTAAGCCGACCAGCGTAAAACGTGGGATGCGTTCGCATCTTGCGTGGCAGTTCGATCGTGTATGCGTTGCCTAGGCGGTGCAATACACGAAATGGGCCGATGTACTTGGGTAGTAGTTTACTGCTACCCAAGTTAGTTACTACATGCTTTGGTAGATTAACCGTAGACAGTAGGACTAAGTCACCTTGATTAAATAAAGATTGTTCGCCCTTCCATTCTTGTCAGCGTTTTGCTTTTGCTTATCCACCGCTTCGACGATGGAGTCTTGCACAAAGCGGACTACCGTTTCACGAGCCAGTATGAACTCATCTGATGACTCGTTAGCTTTAGTGCGCTGTGAGTGCACTGCAGCAATATCAATCTTTTCTTCAGTGAGGGCTTCCGCGCTCTCACTGGCATCATCTTCTTCGACATCGATGTTATCGATATCGGCATCAAACGCATTGACCTCTTCGTCAGAGCGTGATGAGCGTGAACCAAATCGGTTTTTGCTCGCGCGAGTCCCCCCCTTAGACCAGAGTTACACTCTAGTAAGGTGGGTACACGCGGATGGCGCAAGCCATTCACGTAAAACGGTGTATGGGTCGTGGACGCATGCACCGAGTTGTTAATGGCAAACTCTACCATTGGCAAAAACTCACTCCAACTCTTAAAGGAGTGTACGTATCCTCAAAGTATATCTTTGAGGACACGATTGGCACGTTCCGTCTGACCATCTGACTCTGGATGATCAGATGTTGACATCTTCAAGCGCGTTCCGAGTGATTTGAACACGGAACGCCAGAAATCAGCAGTGAATCGTGGATCTCTGTCTGATACGAGTTCACGGGGCAACCCATGAAGTCAGATAATGGTGTCAATAACGACACAAGCACAGCTACTTGGTGTGATTGTCTCTGGTACAGCCACAAGGTGTACCATTTTGCTGAATCTTTCAACAAATACGAGAATACCCGCATTCCCGCGTGCGTCTTTGGGTAACCCGAAGACAAAATCCATTGAGATGGATTCCCAGCACTCTGCCGGAACTGGTAGAGGCTGTAAAGGTGCACGCAGTGAAGGACTTGACTTCACTCGTTGACAGACTTCGCATGCGCGAACATACTTTCGCACAAACTGATACTGGCGGGGCCAGTAAAAGTCTCGACTCACCGTGAGATATGTTTAATGACAACTCGTGGTGTGTAACCAGTAACGGTTATATCACAATTAAATTGTTGCGAGTAGAGTATCAATATGATGCAGATCGATACGCAGGCGACAATCGTTTCAACGATTCTCGAGATGGTTGGGAGAGATGTGACAAAAACTTCACTATCTCACCATCTTGGGCGTATGCCCGACTCACATCATCATACAACGTTGTAGATGGGACTGAGGACGTCATAACCGCAACAGTGACTGTCTCACTGTTGGGTTTCACGAATAGTTCAAAGTCGGGCCGACGCGAGAGTGCATCAGCGACGACATTAAGTCGTCCTGGTTTGTACACTACCGCAAAGCTGTATTCTGCAAAGAATGACAGCCACCGCGCCATTCGTTGTGAAAGGTGCGGGCTGTTTACTGCCGTGCGTAACGACGCAAGGTCAGTGTAAACAATGAAGGGTCTATTTCCTGATCGATAGACTCTGAACTTCGCGAGTGCATACTTCATGGCAAGGACTTCCTCGTCATGCACTGGATAGTTCCGCTCAGCTGGTTGCAGCTGACGCGACTGATAACAGAAGACGCGTTCAACGCCTTCTAGATCGTACTGCATTAATGCACAGCCGATTGCGAAATCGCTGGTATCACAGACCACATGAAATGGCCTGTCCTGATCGGCTATTGCTAGGACTGGGGATTGTATCAAGCTCTGCTTGATACCATCAAAGGAGCGCTGACATTCAGCGTTCCATAACCACCTCTCGTTCTTTTTCAATAAACGACAGAGGTGCACAGTCATCTCGGCGTAATTTCGTGAATGCTTGTGCAAATACTCCGCTAGCCCAAGGGTTTTTCGAAAACCTTTGACATCAACCGGCACAGGCCAGTCGGTGATCGCCTTGATCTTTTCGGGATCAGGACGTCCACCGTTCTTACCAACGATGCACCCAAGAAGTGGCATTTCGCTTGCGGCAAATATACACTTCTTGCGGTTTGCATACAATTGATGCTTTCGCATGATTGTAAGAACCTGTCGGACGTGGTACCTGTGAACCTCAACGTCCGACTTTCCATCCATAGCCCGACTATGGATGAATACGTCATCGAAATAACTCGGCGCGAATTCTCGTACTGGTCTCAACAGATGTGATACACATCTGTTGAACGTGGCAGGGGCATGACTTAGCCCTTGTGGCATTACTAGCCATTCCCAGAGCATGCCGCTAGGCGTGCTAACTGTGGTACAGGGTATATCCCGTTCTCGCATTAGGATTTGATAGAAGCCATCCATCAAATCCATGGACGAAAAGATGGTACTCTTTGACGTACCATCAATGATTACGTCCTTCCTCGGTATCGGCGTCTGAGCCGGTACCGTTGCAGCATTCAACTTGTTCAATGCATGAACTACCCGCCACCCTCCAGTTGCTTTTCGCACACAGAAGGTCGGAGAGCTATGTGGGGAAGTTGATTCCCTCACATGGCCCGCAGCTAAACGATCGGCAAAGAACTTGTCGATCGCAAGTACTTGTTCACGAGGCAGTGGCCACTGCTTCATGACACAGTACTTCGAGCCTGGTTTAAGCTCGACTTCGTGTCGAATACCTTTATCCTCCGGTAACTCGCACGGAAAAGTTTCAGGGAATGCATCCTTGAATTCAACCAGATCTCCGTAGAGAGGATTTGTCTTGAGCGATTCCCATGATTGGGAGTCATATCGCTCAATTCGTGTCTTTTCATCTAGGACACTCTCGTCCATAGATGAACTACTGAGAACTCTCTCGTTCTCAGTAAACAATGTTGCTGACCTTATGTCGGTTACACACTCGTCGTCAGCGACGAGTACGCAGATCTGCTTGACTTTGCCACTACGCAGATCACGCAAGAACCTTTTATGTTCGAGCGTTGGCAACTGAGTGATCTCCGAAGTCAACTTCGGAGGCGCAATCAGATCAAGTGTATAAGCGCCCACACTTGATCCGTCATTGACTAGGACATTCAATGTCTCTGTCATTTCCTGGGGACTTATTCCCTCAGGCCTCGAAGGACTTATTCCTTCGGCTTCCCGGGGACTTATTCCCGCGGGTTTCGGGGAACTTATTTCCACCGTATTTGTAATCTTGGGACTTATTCCCTTTACTTCCTCTAGCTGGGGTTGCGCAACCACAGCGAGATCCTCTACGAAAGACTCTCCAGCCGATCTAGGATCATCGTTTCGCTTAACCTGAGCGACCAATTGTTTCTCTTCTAGATGTTCCCCGCTAGGGATACATCTTTGTCCCAGTGCCTAAGTCTTGGCACGTCCTGCCAGATTTGACTGAGCAAATGCAACTTGCATGTCCCCGTCGTCGATGCGACGCGCCCTTGTGGCGTCGTCTAATTCGACGAACCATCTCAAGAGGGAGTCCTCTTCGACTCCACTATACTTGGAGATGTCAATCTTCAAGGTCTCGGGTCGACGCGAGTGCATCGACCCACCAGCAGCAGTCTGCTGCTGTCTCAACATTTCAAACTGTTAAGCACCCTGTTCTCTCAGCAACTCTGCTTGTTGGGAACCTTGTTGGTGAAGCAAGGCTACTTTCTCGCGTTCGGCGTCAAGTTAAATTTGAATGAACTTGGCGATAGTAGCATGTTGGGCATCTCTATTGAGAGCCTCTAGCATGACGCTAACAGCATGGATGCCCATGGTTGAACCCATTCGTTCAGCAGCATCCCATCCGACATCGCTCATATGGGAGCAGCCATCATGCGTAGCGTGAAAGTATGGTCATATTCTTCATCTAACATATTCATGTTAGATGCGAACGTGGTCCTTGGACGGACTACGAAGTGCTACCAGGTGTAACGGGGCACCCTGAAGCTTGTACTGGTGACAGTACAAGCTACTTATTCTGATGACAGAATAAGGCGGTGCCGCGGAACTTCACGTACACTGGTACGTGCAGAGGAAGACGGCAAGAAGAAGCGAGTACTTGATTAATGTAAAAAGTAGAACTGCATTTATCATAGTTAATGTCTGCAATAAATCACTATTTATCCTCATCTAACTATGTCTAAATACAAATGTGTAAATCAGTTATCTGCTCACCACTCATTGCGTGCGTCTGTCGTGGCGCGTCTTCGTTGGTTGATATAATGGCCTATATCAATCAATAAGGAACTACTAGTAAGTGCTATAGAATATTTGTCTTTATGACAAAATTCTGAGAATAGAACTCTAATAGTTATATTCAATTAACAATTTCTTCTAAATTGTGATGTACCGGTTCACCCCGTTACAAAAACCGTACGATTTTAGGCGGTTAAGGAAATTCTACTCTTTAGGCTAAGACAATGTATGCCATTCTAAAAAGGGACAGAAATCGGTTTTTAAAAAAAGACAAAGATCCTTAGCACTTAGTCGCAAAAACGTACCCAGTTTGTATGCTTGCGGTTATGTACGTCTTGCGATACCGCCAAATCTTTGGCTTATTCGACTGTCCACTAACATTGTTTTATGAACCCCCTGGTCGGAGGGGGGGATGGGCATAGCAAATTTTTAATAGATTACTTGTGGTCTAGCATCCGATATGTACATCCGACGCATCTCTGTAGGTCACTTTACCTTGGTGCTGGCTTTCTGGCTTGCAACAAAGCGCCAGCTGAGCTGGATGAATCTGGTCTGTGATGGTATTTGCAGCCACTCACACGGAGGTTTTGCCACGTCGCCCTCTTTAGCTCACTGTGCCATTCGCTAGACCCAACACTATGCACTTTCACTGTGCTCTGGTGCAGTTTGTTACGATCATACTTGCAACAGTTCATGCAGTTCTCCAACATGGCCAACTCGGCTCGCCTCATCCGAATAGTGGAAACGGTCCTGTAAAAACGCAGGCACCGGAAGTTGACAACGATGACGGAGAGAGAGGTGGTGCTAATCTCTTGCTTCATATTGTCAAAGAGTCCGCGTCGAACAGCATGCCAAGAGTTCTTAGTAGGATCTGGACGGGTAAAAGGGAACCTTTGGAAGATGTTAGTGCTTCGTTTCGTCTTGAAGAATTACGTGCGTTCGAAAGTCTTAAGCACCGACCGTGGGAAAACGACATGGAATTTGACAACAAGCGTAAAAAGCGAGTGGCTATCATGAAGACATTGACGAAGCGTTATGGTGACGAAGCGATGGCTTCGAGAATAATCGAACTAAAAGGCGTCAAGCACAAGTCCATCAGGAGACTCGCACTTCAAGCACAATCCACGCAGGTGTACATATGGAAGGAGGATAGACGATTATCCAAAGACGTGTTCCGCTTCCTCGAGCTTAATAAGGCTCATGAATCGAAGACTGAACAACCAACCATACAAGAAGATGTTGTCCGGCTTTTCAGCAACGCAGAGTTCGAAACTTGGACAAACTATGTGCACGGCTACTACGGTGACGACGATCTAAAGGCGGAGATAACGATGGTCATGATCCTGACATCTTCCTACGGCAATGATAGACTCAGCAAGATTCTCTCTACAGCAGCACGTACTGAGGAAACAGAGACTGAGGCCGTGCGTCTGCAAGAGGCGCTGTTTAACTTTTGGTTGAACGTAAGGGTCGATCCAGTGCAGGTCCGCACCTGGATGAACGTCGAAGGACAGGAGATGACCAAGAGGGAGATGGCATTGCTCCACCGATACAACCAGGATTACAGGAATGCATATTCTTTGTCACTCGTAAAATGCGGACAAGCACACGTTCCAGCTCATCCACGAAAAACGAAAGTTAGAAATAAGAGCTCAAGCCTAAGTAAGCTCTGATTTGAATGACAATTTAACAGGATGCATAAACGCTTTGTCACGTTAACTTAATGCCGCGTTGGATGTTAAGCTTCAGTGATAGACTGCTAGCACAATTGAATGGCGGTATCCATTAGTCCTAACTCTGCTAACACTGCTATCGAAACACAAATAAGGGCCACCGCTATGTGTGTAGTACGATAATTTCGTGATCCTTCGGTCGGTGTAGCTCATGCCGACAACTGAGCGCGATCAGGCCAAACAACTTCGCTTTTCAGCCAAGGAAGAAGCCCTGCTTTGGGTTGATACAACTAATGGTCAATCTTTTATGGTCTGTATTACAGTAATGGACCTACGTTCAGCTAAATCTTGTTTCGATCTCGCACCAGTCGGATGACCGAGCTACTGCCCGATCAAGTGCGAGCTGCTGCTTGTCTTGGCCGAAACACAACCAAGCATCGTGCTTATAAACTTCGATGCTCAGCTGTACCAATCAATGAATATGGTCGGTGCTCGAAGAAAGCTCACACCCTCGTTTACTCTGAATGCAACAACATAATTCGAAATGTGTCTCGAACTTCTGTATACTGTAGAACGGTAATGACGGGCCATCTTCATCAGACTTGATCGTGAATGACAAGAGGAGTATACGAAAAGGATGGTCGTTAATGCACTAGCAATCACGCGTCTGTCAATTCCACACAAGTGCAATGCCTGCCATTATGTGTCTAAGACTGTGAACACTATGGGACCTTCAGCGTATCATGCAACACTTTCCACGCAAAATGGTAGCATCGCGGCAGCAGCACTTAATACGTTGTGAGATTTGTGCCTGTCGTATTTGAGCCCTTGACGAAACAACCTTGTGGATGTTTAAGGGCACGACTAACAACTAGTGACCTACATGATCGCTCGAGTACTATGGGAGTTTGCGAGTGGTGTAATCAAAACGATAGTTTACGAAACCCGATGAAGTCATTAATGCCACGCCATCGTGGTCGGCACCACCTTTGCCTTAAACATGCTATGAAGTTTCTCTCTATCTCCTCATCGCCGAGTCACCACCACATATGATCTCATATGCAGCGGACCCCTTGGAAAGCCATCGCATACGGAGCATCTGCATCAACGGCAAGACATCAGGTGATGCGACGAAAACATCCACCGTTCAAATAATAACAGTGGGATGGTACAATCGATAATAGCTTTGCAGTCAATAAATCCTGTGGTAGCTTTTAGGTCACTAAAATGTACACTTAGCCACGGATTGTCTAGCACGTTCAACATGAAGACTCCCAGCAGCACCTAGCTATACGGCAGCTTGTGTGTTAACAAGTCTCACAATGGTGCGATATCCAAATGCTTTTTAGCTGTACGACCACTACTATCTCGTAAAGTGTAGACCGCTTTAAAATTAAAACTCATCGTATTAAGGCTCATCGCACGATTTCTCGATTGTCATGTTTAAAGTGTATTTGATTAATCCAGACAGAGCACCGTCATGTTTAGCTGTCGTGTCATCTTGAGTCTTTAGGGCGCACCAACTTCGACAGATACACTCAGGTAATTAACTCAGACGTACACACTACATCTTGAAAACCACTAGCCACGAAGTCAAGCAAGCACAAAAGTGATGAAGATGATCAAGAGGCATTTGACGTGGCTTAAATTACACCATCAGTTTCGACGGTGAATTGACGTGTCAATGAAAATACAAACAAGCGAGAACGTACGGAAAACTGAACGCTTACTGAGGACAAGGAACCTCCCTAACACGGCCACGTCCTCCCCGTTCTACGAGACACACACTCTGCCGTAATTTGGCCCCATCTATAGTGCTGACACTCTCAATTAGATACTGCGTATATAGTTGGATATTCATCTTTACAGCAAGTTTCTGCAATAGTTCACATCAGCATAAGAAAGCGGTCTCCGAGCACCGGTGGTAAGCGGGCAAGCAAGGAACACCATTCATAAGAGTGGACTGAACGCAGAGTGGACTGCTCTTTCCGCTTGTGACTGCAATTCAATTGTTAATTGGACGATTATCGGTGCTTTCTAGCAGGTCCAACGATACCGTACAGATCTGTCGCCCAAACAGTCGGCCAACCTCGCAACAGACGCCTCCTCGACGACGACGATTTGCACAATTTCTTGAGTTTTAGCGACCAGGTTGCAAGTCGGAATCGCTTATGAACCCCTGACATCATCCCAGCGGTACCCCTCTATACCCTGATTGCCTGCTGTGGAGTCAAATTCGACCACCAGCGATCCAACTGATCCGTTCTTGATTCTGTCATTTCTCGTCCTTATGGCATGTACACTTTCTAGGTCGTCTTTATTCCTCACTCTTGTCAATGAGCTGTCCAATCTTGCAAGTGTAGGCGACAATTGCGGTCAAAACGTCGGCAAATAAGGTTTAAACCTAGTTCCTACAACGTTGCTTGTAAATATCCTCTTACCGTCTAATTAAGCTGGCAATGGGGTCCCCACCAATGCTGCTAAGGCGTGGCGGCGTCTTGCCTCTACATCGGCACACATTATTAACGACGAAACGATTTCGATGAAAATCGCTGTGCACCGTGCAACTTTCTGACAATTATGGTACTACTCAGCGTGAAAGCGTGTGCTAAGGGCACGATCCGGCTGATGCGGGCACCATAATTGATAACAACGATGATCATATTGCACCTTGAAAAAAGGATCAGTCCAAGTTTGCGTAGTGCTGCATATTGTAAATTTGTTATGGGCACCCGAAATTCTTATCGTCAGATTAGAAGGTATTCTTTGACATTTGTCATTGTACAGAGGGTCGTATACCGCGTTTAATGCAAATGAGAGTAGACTGGGGGTCTTTCAAACCATTCAGTAGCTGTTCACATTCCATAGCTAGCTACAGACTGCTATGTAGCTAGCAATGGTATATAGTTTTAAAGTAATTAGGCACCCCGTCAACGAATGAAGAGCGTTGTGTTGTAGCTTTGTAGCTTGCATCAAATTTTAATCAGTTATTTTCTTATAGCTTGTTTCTGCGCGAAACTTTTCAATGTTGACAACCGTCAGAAACGAGACAAGTTATCATAGGGCACCAGAGATGCGAGTCAGGAACGAGATAGTAAAGAAGGGAGAAAAAATGGGCTGCTGCCGCCGCGTATAGGAGCACGATGCTTAGTTAGGAAAAGAAGAAATCAAAACAAGTTGACAGTACCAAAAAGAAAGAGAGCCGAGCTAAGTTGGCAATATAGTGTGCTACTGAACGCACACATGCATGTATCGCGTATTAGCCCATCACTACTACAGCGCAGAAAAACTTTGGTGTGTAAACATGCGACAATGGAGGCGACAGTCACCACAATACAAGAAAGTCCAGCCGGTTCGATCACGGGCTACAACCGGAACGGAATGAGCAAATGACTGACTTTGCATCTATAACTTACTTCACTAATGGGGGTAGCACAATGCTAGCATGGGTGCGTGGCTTTCTACTCAAATACTGTAACACGAGCACTGATTGAGGTGGTTAATTTGAAGCACCAGTGTTAAAATGGATTTCATACCTGTTGCCATGCTTACTAAATCGATGTAATACGCAACCGATATTGTCCAGTCACTTAAAGTACTAGTATGCCTACCAGAATCTGATACAATATAACAAGAAATAACTAGTTATTCCTGTGCGTGCCTTTATAGAGCATGCAGACACGAACAGTTTTTTACCTTGGTATCAGACATATCCTGCCATTGCTTTGGCCCGACGTGTTACCGCTCGGGTAGGACATAAAACCATATAATCTTTCGAGGGCATGCGCTATACGTAGATGCAGTGTCACCTCCACATCTTTGCGAAACCGAAGGGTGACGCTATTATTACCTGTGCGCAAGGTTGAACGACAAAATTTTAATTCGTACGTATCTGTGTATGTTTGTCTGTATGTCTGTAAAGAACGCGGTCGGGTGTACCTGATTTACACTAAACAAGATCTCACCTGTCCCCCCCTTATAGGCTAATTAGCATGCTAGGTGTCACTCTATGGCTAGGTCAATATTGTGATGCACGCACCTGATCGGCTTAAAATCGTAAATAGGTGAAAATCATCTAAGAGCAGATGCTGGACGCTAATAAGGAAAGGCCGATCCCGTTGCCCTACCGTACTGTACAGATTTATTCATTAACATCATCATTTTCCTTTTTAGTGACTGCTTTTGTATTGTGTTTTGTAACTTAGTTCAGTTCTCCAATCTGAATTACAATAGTTCGGGGCGAGATCCAAAGCTTGCTATCCTATCTTACTATGGCAATCCTTCTTTCTTTTTTCACTAACGGGCTACATCATTTCCACTACGTGCGTCGTAGGTTCATGTAACTCAGCACAAACGAGTTCTGAAGCAGTCTAGCGATAGCTTACGCTTGCAGCTTGCAATTGCGTTGGGTTTGTTTCACGACACAATTAATAAAGATTAAGCTTTGTATATTCAGTCGGTCGATGACCGCAGGCATCAAACACAATGTGTAGCCACAGCGTATGCTTACAGTTGTTACCGCTTCACACGAACGAGTGTGGATGAACGCAAACGCCAGACTGTCGGGCAGTCACTCGCAACATGGAGGACGGGACATAAGGATACCAAAGTCACATCACTAGCGGCGAGGGAGCGATACACCTGGGGGTCGAGCGTATGAACGCTAAAGATTGCCTCAACAGGCTAAATCAGCAATCCCGAGGAGCCATAGTGTCCGCCATGCGCACAGTACATGTCGTCCTCCTTCCTGTGAGATGGAGGCGGATAATGATATCGTCTTCACGCATTGGGATCACCGAACTTGCCGTCTTCAAAGCCTGTGAAATCTCCAAAGAGAGAGCTTTACTTGCTGACGTTCGGCTCGAACGAAAAGTGCGCTCTGTTTTCACAAACTAAAAGGCCTAAGGCCAACTGCGATCGTTTTTTGCACACTTTAAACTGTGGCAGCTACGGACATGCACGCTAGTGCCCCTTATGCGCCTTAAGACCCCTCCACTCCC